AATGTTTTAATGATCTGTGTGCTCCTCAACCAACCGAAGGCACAAACTGTGGCTCAATTCCAAATGCAGTTTCTTCTTACTTTAAGGACACACTGCTGTATCATAGTCCTTACAAAACACACATTTTCCTGCAGAATGCACACAACTGGGACACACTGCTTGATCATAATATTGTGCCTTAAACGTTGACAGTTACAGTCTGTAATGTGAAATGAACCAGCTGTTTATATTCATACGAGACACCATATTGTTACTGTGCAGATGACCGTGGCCAGAAAACAATGCACCTGCAAAAACCAGCTAGATGTAGTACGACATCCAGCTGTTTGGGGCATGCTATGTATTGAGACGTACTAAATCCTTTTCATGGTTCACTGTAAACTATGGTAGTAAATGGCAAAGTGTATGGCAAATGAGACTTCAGTGGAACACATGCATTATTGATTCTTCATATCATTAAATGGAAACCAGAGTCAATGTTCATACTTAAAAACATCTTTAATTTACAACACAGCCACTGAAACAGTAAGGAAACAATTATTTACCCGACATTATTTATACGGTTAAATCCCTTCCATCATTCACAGATCACATGAATCAGTCACAGCACAGTGAGAACACTTTCAGTTAAGCTCAGTCATCCTCCGACTGCAACGAATAACGCTTCACAATTTTTTATTCAAGAATCTTTCAAAAAAAAAAAGCACAAAGATTTACATTTTTCTGTTTCAGTGTGACCCCCGGTTCAGTCCCCCTCCTCCTCATTGTTTCAAGTAAGGCAATAAAAACCAGTTCATTACCAACAGCCCAGTCCTTTCAAGTCCTCCGTGCCATTTAGGTCAGCGTGATTATGCATTATGTTCCAGTCTTTGTGTCTACGTGTGACAGGTCCAGACCTGACTTGTTTAAAACGGCTTTAATCATCAACTTCCACCTCAGCCAGTGACACAGTTTTAAAAAAAAAAAAAAACAAAAGGAGGGGAAAATGGATAACTTTCCATAAAAGCAGAGTCTACACTGTGTCCTGGAAAGTCTTTTTTTTTTCCCCTCCAGTGATGCGAGGTTCCCCTCCGTGCTGACAAAAGTGGTCTTCACCTTCATCAAAGCGGTGCGCTGGCTTTGATGTGCACAGGCGGGAACAGATAAGAATATTGGTTATTAGCGAGCAAAAAGTACCAGCTGCAGGCCAGCAGGGCCGCCGACAGTTAAGTCTATCAGACGTGATGGGACGTTCTTTGGCTGTCCTGACCCACATTTTGTTAAGTGATTATTTTCCCACCGTTTGCTCCACTACGGAGCAGCAGAACCGCGGTGACACTGAACAGGGTGTTCTGGCAGGCTGAATAACACCGCACTGGCTCCCTCTTTATGTTTTAATGTGGAAATTTTGGGTCACGGCGCTGCTTTAGAATCTCTGCAGGCATCTCCGAGTCCAGGCCAATAGAGCCGATGTGCAGCAGGGATTCACTTGCGGGTGCAGCCGGGGTAAGGAGGAGGCGGGGAGTAGTTGGCCGGCCGAGGCTGGGTTGGGGTGTAGGGTGGGGGGTGCAGGGACGGGGGGTACATCTCGTAGTCGTAGGTGTACGGAGGTGGAGGGCCTGAATTCAAGTAAAAAAATAAAGTAAGATTAGCATCTGCAAGGTGGTTAAAAGCTTTTATTTCTCATGCAATAATTACAAATGTCACACTTCTTCCATGTTTAACGAGGCCGACCTCAGTTCAGGCTACCTGGCCTGATTTTACAGGGACTTTGACAGAACGGTTGCGCCCTCTAGTGGCTCAATTGAGAAAATGCATCATCTGAAAGAAAGGGCCTCAGAATAACAATGGATGAGGCAGTAAAAAGCTGTTTTGTTGATCACATTGCATCAGTTTCATCAAGGAAACTAATAATTTGGCAAAACAAGGTTGTTTGTTTTTATTTTATATGTCTGTATCCTTGTATGTTTTTCTTTTATGTGTGTTTTTCTTGTTGGAATTTGGCTTTTTGTGAATTTTGTGTCTTTTTTTCAACCTTTTGTAAACTATTGAGATTGCATGATCATTAATATGCACTGTCCTGTAGTACACATGAAAGAAAAGATGACTTAAGTGACTCCAAACTGAGGGACTGCAACACAAAAGCCTTCTACTACTATTAATAATAATACATTTATTTTGTAAAGCGCTTTTCAAGATACTCAAAGTCGCTTAACAGGGTGTACGATAAAAACAAGTTGAATAAAAAGCAGACAAAAAGCAAGGTATAGAAGGCAGGTAAAGAAAAAAAAAAACACTTAAACATTAAAAGTGATCTTGAAACGGTGAGTTTTTAAAAGGGACTTGAACGTGTGGAGGTCAGAGCAGTGCCTGATGGGAGATGGAAGGGAGTCCCAGAGGGTTCACTTCTTGGTCCTTGGTGGTGATTATACAGTGCAATAGCTGTTGGGCAGTGGCTTTATTGTAAGCTCTTGTGAAATAAAATAAACATGCAGAGCTGCTCATCTTTGTGCCACTGGAGGAGGAAAATAATAGCACAGCAGCATCTCGCATAAAAACAGGAAATAATTCATATCACTGTCGCTTCATGCGGCGCACACGCATTCATATTGCATCACGTCGAGCAGCATGTACATGAAACATGATCAGCGCTGGAGGGCAGCGTGAAAAGCGCCCGTCCAGCGTAGCATGAAGGCGATACGCAGAGGAGAATGAAACACGATAAATAAATGATAAGCCCCAGAAAATAAACTAACAGTCCCGGGTCTGGGGAGCGTGTCACAGTGCACCGATGCTCAGACGGTGTACCTGTGAGGACCATGTACACTGTCACCGTTTACTCCCCTTAAGTGGGAACAAAGTGTAACAGACAGTAAAGAGCGAGAGCAGAAAAAGAAAACATAGAAGGTAAAAAAAAATGAGAGGCAGTTATGAGACTTTTCAAAAAGCAGTTACGAGGATTGAATAGAGGTCACGGTGAAGTTTGGGCTGTTACATGTGGAAAATAATCCTCTTTGTGTTGAGGAACATTGCTCGAGGCCAAGGTGGACCCCGTAACATATTGTTTGCATTTGCTGTTTTCTATTCAGCTCGGGTCTCTTGAGGACAGAAGATGAGGTTTCACTGTCATATAATCTGTGCTTTGTGTGTGAAGTGTAGTTAATCATTACATGGACACTAACCAACAAGTTAAAAATCACTTCCTGATGCAATATGCTGCGTAAATAATACAAATCATTTATTCATACTTTACAGATAAGCAACAAATAATTGAGCAAAGCTTTAATAATTTAATGGTTCTAATAAGGTCCAGTGGTGGAACAAGTGTTCACATCCTTTACTTAAAAATGACAAAACAGGCATGAAAATCCCCGATTACAAGTACATGAAAAATCCTCCTGAGGTAAAAGAACATGATAATTAAAACTTAAAGTCCAGGTTGGTCTGTGTGATTGATATTATGTATGAAATCAGTACATTATTTATAGTGATGCATCAGTGTGTCAGCAGCATGTTAATGTTGGAGCTGCTGCAGGTGGAGATATTTTATATGCAGTTTTATACACAGAGACAGCAGGTAGAGCTGAGGGGAAAGAGAAAAGAACAAAAGGTCTGACACCCAAATGTGTATTTTGTCCTCAAATCTTAATATGAAATCAAACCATGTAAGGAGTTTTTAGAGTTTAAAAAAAAAAACACTATTTGGTGGAGACGTCTGAAATGTGAGCCTGACTCAACACTGGTTTAATCTTAAGCTCACTGTAACATCTATTGTGTAAAATCTCCATCTTAAAGGTAACTAAAGCCTTCAGATGAATGTATGTGAGAAGAAATTTCTGAAACATACTCAAATGGAAGAATACAGCAGCATGAAATGGAAATAACTCATATTTAAGTATAATTCTTGAGTAAATGTGTTTTTACACCACTGCTATAAAAAAAATCCTTGACCCAAAACTATTTGGTTTAAGGTTTTTTACTCGTAATTAATTCTTTATGAACATGAGTTTATCATTTATTAATGTGAACAAATATTTATCGCTGCTTATTTTGGGGTGTGTAATTCTTTCAATAGAGTATTTATTTAATATTTTATTGCTATTTTATTATTTATATCACCTTTTAACTTTTTTTCTTAGACATGTGGCCATATTAGCTGCTGTAAAGGTGATATTTAAATTAAATTTAGTTGTATTTCGTGTACAATGACAATAAAGCTTCTTCTTCTTCCTTTAAATCAGGGCTTTCAACTTACCCAGGGGCCGCTGGAGATAGAGTCTGGGTAATTTTCTCAATCTTTATTAATAACAATTCTGAACATGAAAGGTTCTTCTTACCTACTCCTACCTACTCAGCTGAGCCACATTTGGCTTGACGGAAAAAGCAGTTGAGACCCTCAGTATGGCTTCAAGATCAGTAAGTTTAGACGTGTACTTTGACTTATAAAAGTTCACGGTGGAGAAGAGCTTTTCACACAAATCGAAAGAAACGCATTTGCACTGGGTGACAGGATAGATTTTCTCTCCAATCACTGACACTCCTAAATCATGCTTCAAGTTACTCACGTTGCTAATTCACGTTGCTGTCACGAGCCTGAGCTACGGTAGACCACAAGCGAAAAGGTAAATACAACATCCAGGGCAACGACTCATGCAGGTAAAAAAAAATGCGCAGGCCACACTAACAATAAACTTTGATGTCAAGTAGGGGCCACAAAATATCATCCCGCAGGCCTCAAATGACCCGCAGGCCGCAAGTTTGAGACTTTAAATCATAGCTGCAACGAATGCTTTACTCAAAAAAAGTCTCATTTATTAATTAACCAGTGCTCAGATCATTAACTAATGGTTGTTCAGGCAAAGGGTTCATGTTAAATCATTGACCAAACCAGTAGAAACCAGTCTTTCAGGGTGTGTTGTATAGTTAGTGTGCTTGTGTGTGTTGGCCCACCTGGGTAGCCCTGGGTCACAGTGTTGATGTAGGAGGTGCTGAAGACGCCGACCCGCGCGCCACGCCCATTCTTCATGCACATGCACACGCAGAGGAACAGGGCCGCCACCGCCCCCATCAAAAACACCACCCCGAACACGATCCCGGAGATGGCAGTGCCCCTGGAAGAGAAAAAAAAAGAAAAAAGTGAAACCACTTGCACAGTGAGCCACCCAGCTGAGTGAGAGCAGGCAGCTGTCTCCAACAGACACCAACACTTCCAAGTCGCTGCCATGGAGATGAATTGTGGCATCTGATGTAACTCAGCTGTGCGAATCGTGTGCGAGTCGTGCGACAGCGCGACAGGACCTGTGTGTGTGCGTGCGCTGCAGAGGAGTCGGTGATTTGGCGCCGAAAAAATAGAAGAAGACTCATCGCTGACAGGTTTGTTACGTCTTCCTTCGCAGCGTTAGTCAGCGTGTCACTGCTTGGAGGAGCAGCGCGTTCTGATGTTTCCCACTCATTCAAGATTACTACAAGTGTGCAATTAACATCCCCAGAGTGAAGCAGTTACCTAAATAATCCTGGGTTTGATCTAAACGAAAATGGGAGGTCTGGGAAGCGGCTGAAGCAGCAGTGCTGAGTAATGGCAGCGAGAGGTGAAAGGTCAGATCTTCTGAAGGGTTTCCTGCATGTTTGGGAACAGCTGCTGTGTCAGTTAGCTGTCTGACTGCTAAACCCGTACATATCTGTGCTGATCTTTCTCTAAAATGTCCAAACCACTACATTTTTGAAACCCCTCGTCGCTCTTCCCTCCCCTTTAAGAAGCACACATTTCCGTGTATTTCAGAGAACTCTCATTTCCAACAAGTTCCCGACACAGCGCATGCGATTCGATCGTGATCTGACAGAGATAATTGAGGCTTCCTGGCAACCACGGCTGTTAAAGCCCGGGCAGCTGCACGGAGACCTTGAGTCAGACCCTGTTTTATCCTCACAAAGGTGTCTGATGAACAGATTTGTTAATGACAGCGTCTGCATTTTGCTATATTTAGACGTGCTCACAGACGGAGATGGTGGAGGCAGAAGGTTGAGCTCTTTATCAGTTATGTTACGTAGAAATCATCATAAAGAGGGTATTTTTGGCCTGTACAGGGAACAGAATTTCAGAGAAACTTCTGAATGAGGTGCATTTTTGGGGGAGTGGCTTAAGGAGAGCTTCTGATTCCACTGACTTTATAGTACAAGACGAGAGCAGACATCTTTTAATGGCAAGAACATTTACAGGAAATTTAGAAGGAGCTTTTCTGTTTCCATTTTAGGAGTAGGATCCATCTCAAGGTGACACAATAATTTTGTGAAGACGTCGAGCTCAACATAAAAAAAAACAATAAATGGCAGCTACTTGATGTAACTCCATCTTCACGAGTACGTATGAAACATAACATACCGGTTGGCTGTTGTTTTGTTCGCCTACATGGCAAATTTTTACATTTGAGACAAGATAAATCAAAGAACATCAGCCCCTCATGTCATTTCTCAGTGGTATATCTTCGATTCCTTTCCTTGTCTCCTCTCCTCACGCCTTACTCCCTTCCACCAGAGATGCAAACAGAGCTCAACAGGTTTTCAAATATAAAATATTCCCTTAGCGAGGAGTCCATATGACTTAAAATGACTTGGTGAAAGGGTTCCGACTAGAATATCAGGTTAGCAGTGCAGCATCTGTTACCATGGCGATCCAGCCACGTTAAAAGCCTGGATTCAAGCTCAACGTATCTCGCTAATCCACTAATCTCGTTAAGTAGAACGATAAGGATACACACCGGCGCGTCTCCTCTCTCTCCTCGAGATGCATTTACAGAAATCTTTCAAGATGGAAGATCGATTTCTGCATCCGAGGACGGAGGAGATGAGGGCGCTCAAAATAGACTTGGGGGCAGAAAAATAGCGCTCGTCTCTGGATTTAATCGGCGTTGAGGAGTACTTAACCCAGAGTAGGAACCATTTTCTCCCCCTAAAATAGCCCTGAAGAGGCAAGAACACACTCAAAAGGTGGAAAACATCCTTATGTGCCCCGCAAGAAAGGTCATAGTTTGGTGTTGATAGAAGCAAAAAAAACCATCTTAAATTCCTTGTTGTGTTCTTGCGTTAACTTACGAGAGGACGTCCCCCACGTAGGCGTAGTAGGAGCAGCAGAAAGGTGGAGATCCGTCGCAGCAGTACTCTATACATCCTTCACACTGGGCCTCGCCGCCACCTGAACAACACACACACTCATTAGAAGCAGCTAATGCAGGATGAAGCCTGTCAGAAAGTTTCTTCAGCAAATTAATCGACAGTTTTTGCGAACAGGGTTAAATGATTCTATGACGCCGTTATAATCCAAGAAGTCATAGGTGTCCGCTCATAATAGAAACTGTCCAGCCGGGTCTTGTTACCGTGGCGATGTTTTCAACCTTTCCCCTGACGGAGAGAGAGAGAAAAAAAAAAACTTCTATAATGACACCTTTCATGAAGTAAGCTCAAAGCGCGCGACCTCCGCCGGCGGCTGCTATTTATACCTTTAAAGGCAGATTTAAAGGCATCAAGAGGTGATTTATTAGGAGCGCAGAGAACCGGAGAGGCCTGTTTTAAAAATAAGCCATCAATACCTGCGGGCCGTCTGGGGAAAGAACTCACAGAGGAACCTTGGGTTTTGTTCCAATAAAGCCAGCCAACCCCGCTAGCCTGCACAACCATGAGGGTTTTAATATTTTTTTTATTATTATTCATATCAGCCAGAACAAATTAAAAACCGCGGGGATATTACATCTCCAGCTGGGAGCTTTTTTTAATTCATCCATTTTGTCTGAAAAACACAAAAGTTCCAAAGCTGCACCTTATTAAGTGTCCGGTTTAGTCATTTTTATGTTTATTTTTTAATTCAGTTCACAATCCCAAATAAGAAGAGCTTCCTGATCACATGTGCAATCTAAAACAAAGATGACTGTTACCAGGTAACTGCTGCGCTAGTTAGAACCCAACATGCATTATTTATTTTTTAATGTGCGAGGTGACTGAAGGAGTAAATCCAGATGAATCAAACACCGTAGGCTGAATATGACAAATCTAGTATGAATTAAGAAGACAATCAGACACCAGAGCTGTCTTCCTTTTTTATGTTGATGACAAATTAACAGGGTCTGAGTGTCTAGAAGGGACTAAACTTGGTGGACGGAGAAGGAACCAAGGTGCCGGATTTTGCTTTGAGCTCAAACAATTTGTAGATTAAAAATGTAGCTGCTGTTTGAGCAAAATCAAAATGTTTCAGTGGTAATCAAGAAGAGCGATAACTGATATTTAAAATCAAAACAGTTCCAGCAAAAATGGAAATCTGTGTCAAAATGTTCAAGTAACACAAACTCCAACAGCTTTTGTTTTAAAACATGTGTTATGTATATACATACATGTGTAATTAAAAGATTTTTTCCTTCAGTGTTGATTGGATGTTACTAGAAAGAGCTCCAGAGCCAAAGAAGCATATTTATTTATGTATTTATTTTAATTATTTCTATGTAAGTACCATTTGTAAACACTTGTTGATGTGGACATTAGTCAAAATCTTAGCCTGTTTTTTGTTGTTGTTGTTGTTGTTTTCTTACAGTCAACATGTAAATTTTATTTTCTGTCATTTTACAAAAAAATTATCTGAAAAATGTTTACAAAACAGAGAAAATCTGTAAAAATAACTGTTAAAAAACAGTTATTTACCATTTTTCAGTATTTAATACATGTGTTTTTTTTTTCTTTTTGGGAAACATTGCAGCCAATATTTGTAAAATAACTATTCTTGTGAATTTACAGTAAAAAATAAAAAAATTTGACTTGATTTTTTTTTTAATGTGAGCGTAATCTCGATCTGATGCTCGGTTGCCCCCTTTCAACATAAACTCCAAAACATCTTCTACTTCATTATTGTTGGACATCCACTGGTTCCACTGACTTTTTTTTTTCTTTTTTCCTTCAGTGACGGTAATCTTTGGATCTCTGGGTTCCGGATGATTAATCAGACAAAAATAACAAATACATCCTGCAGATGCCAATTTGTGTTGCCTGACAGTCAAACCTGTAATTAAACCTGCCATTTATCACCATTTCCTGGCATTTCTGTCAAGATTTCATTTAATTAATCAGGAAAATAGCAGTTGGTTGCAGAACTAAACGAGACACGGACGCAGATTTGATTTCAAATTTAACAAATCATGTAGATTTAAAGGGTTATTCCCACCAATTTCTCATCTAAGTTCATTCAGCCTTTGAAAGCTTTCTTTCACTCATCAGGGTCGTTTTGGCTTCTGCAAATTGCACTTTTTCCCCAAACAAGCTGCACTGAATTTGAAAACTACGGTCATCTATGAGGCAAAGTTGCATTCTGGGAAGTGCATGCTCTTTTGTTTTTGGAGCTTCATCCACTCTAAAACACTAAAAGTGAGGATTTCTCCACTTCTGCTGCTTCACTCAAGTCTTTTAAAAGATCTGTTTCCGCCGAGTCCCTTCCAGCTTTATGAATATGCAGTAATAAATAGCTGGAGTGCTCCTTTAGCAGCAACACGGATGTTAAAGGGTCCTCAGGGGCACAGAGCGGCAAAATCAACACACGATGGACTCGGATCGTGAGCCTCGGCCACGCAGCGGCTGAATTAATTCCTTCTGGAGTGGGGGATCATTAGGATACAGTGGGACGCGCATGTGTTTGGATCAATTTGACGTGATTTAAGAGCTTTACCACTTGTGCGTCCACGCAATCCATGATCCGGCATGAGGATTTCACATTTAGCACTCCGACAAGTGCCCTGAGCCGACGTGGCACTGGAAAAGGATCTATTACATGCTTTTGTGCGTGTGATTAATGTGGTTTATTACCCCTCCTCTCAACTCATTCAAAAGCATTGTACACACAGCTGGGCCTCTCTGTGTACTCGCCCCAACCTGCTGCCACGACACGAGACACTTCTCATCTGGAAGGCTTCTTTTTTTTTTGCTGCAATATTTGTTTTTTGCGTATAGAAAGGAAAGGCTGGAGTGTTTCACAATCACTTCAAATGAAGAGCGCTGCAAAGAAAAACAAGCAGAGAAGCACATGTGTGTGTTGGGATCTGGGTTCTCTCAGCAATCACTCAGAACGATGTGTGCCTCCAGGCGTGTGGAGCACGAGGGGGTTTAAAAAACACAGGTAGAAAGTGGCTTTTTATTACTATAAGAGGGTGTTTGTTTAAAAAAGTTAGGATGCAAGAGAGAAAACTGAATGACATCATGAGCAGAAAGTGTTTTTTCCTGCAAACTTTTGATGATTTCTTGTAGCAGAGGAGGAGGAAGGAGGAGGAAGGAGGGGATGCACCTTTTTAATTGAACATAAAAAGCTGCTGGTGTCAATAGGAGGTCCCAGAGGCAGACTGCTGCTCAGCTCTGTCTGGGTGGTCCTCTGAGGTCCTGGCTCCTGTCTCTCCACACGCTGGGAGACAATGGCACTATGTCCTTCACCCCCCTCCAACAAACCCACCCAGGCTTTAGTCCTCCCCCCTCCACAGCAACACTGTACCACAAGTTTTTATTTGTTTACTTGTTTACCTCAATGTTGCTCCAAATGCATCTAAAAAAATGTAAATAAATCACCTGAATTTTATAACCATTCCCCCCCAACTTGGATCCAAATGATATTCTTGATTTCTAACTCACCAGAGAATAAACACAGCAGCAGCGAGCTCCTCAGCCACCTCCATCTCCTCCAGGGGTTTTCCATGATCTCCTCTGCGCCCACTTTCCAGTTTTTCTCAATCAGTGTCAGAAGATAATAATTAAAAAAAAGCCGCTTCTTTCCTCTTCTTGCTCCGGTCACCTATTTGTCTCCTTCTCCAGCAGCAGCATGGTTTTGATTTTCTTGAACCTCCTCACCGGTGTGGAGACTCGCTGGGACTTGTTCAAAGTGGAGCTCCGTTTGTTCCTCCACGTGTGAGCGTCTGTTCCGCCGCGTCCTGTTCCCACACCTCCGACAGAGAGAGCGATCGCTCAGGGTTTTATTCCCCTCCCCTCCCCCGTTTGCTCAAATTACCCTGCTGAGTTTACACTGAGGGGAGAGAGAGCGGCGTCAAGTCAGAAATGACGACACGGGTAGCTTCCGGTGGATACTTTTAAAGTAAAAGCGGAAATAGAGCCATAAAAATAGAAAACAATCAGAATCAGAATCAGATTTGTTGCAAGGTATAGTTCATACAATACGAGGAATTTGTTCTGGTGGGTTGGTGCAAAAACAACAACAACAACAATAAATATAGAGTAGAATATAGTAACTAAAAGTAAAAAATAACTAATAGTACAAGAATCAAAGTTAAATTTAAATAAGAAATAAATATTAATAAATAATAAAGGAAATAAAAATATAACAACGATAGAAATTCATATCATAGTTGTAAAGAAGTTTCCAGAATCCTCAACGACTTACTTTTTAAACCACCCAGATCAAAATCAGCCCCATGCTAAGATTTTTAACACATTTCCCAAATTGTGGAAAAAAAAAAAGCTCAGTTTCTGTGAAGGGAAACAGCAAAAATCTCGTCAGCTATGTTTGTATAATATTTTTTAGCTACTTTAAATACAGTAAAACAAGGTATTTTACAGTCACACTGTAAAAGAACAAACTGTCATTTGTAAAAATACAGATTGTTTTCTTTTTTGTTGCTATTTTAGGTATTTTTCTACAGACAACATGTTAATGAACATGTATTTTTGAATAATATTACCAGAAAGAAAACATAAAAGGACAGTTTAACAGTTACTTTTTTATTTTTTAATATATCAGATTTTTCTTTCCACCTGTTATTGTTTTTATTTTATTTTATTTGCCATTTCACTATATTTTTTTTACAGTCAACATGTAAATTAATACGTTTTTTTCCCTGTCAGATTATGAGAGAAAATCTGTAAAACAACAGTTTAACAGTTACTTACTTTTAAAATTTTTAATTTGTCTGATTTTTCTTTCAAATAATGGCAAATATCTGTAAACTAACCGTATCTGTTGTGGCTTTAAATACAGCAGAAATAGTTTCTTTTTTTTTGGTCAAACATGACTATTTATGAAGAATTCTGATTGATGAAGAGGACTGATGAGGTTATCTATAATTTAACAAGACAGGGAAAATCTGTCAAAAAAAATATTTAAACTAATTTTACAAATATTTAAATTCTCGTTAAAAACTGCTTCATTTTTTACAGTACATCACGACTTCATATTTCTATTTAGAAAAACAATTTTCTACTGATAATAGTAAAGAGTTATATTTAATGAATTTTCATGTCCTTGGTGCTTTTATTTTCATTTCTTCCTTTTTGTAAAGCGTGACTGACTTGACGCAACATGAGAACAAACGCGCTGGTTTAAACTTACGTGCATGCGTGCGCGTCCCCGTGCAGGTCTCCTCTCCAGCAGAGTCCTTGTGCTTCCTCACATCACGACTGATGAGATGAAAGAGGAACCAGTCTGTCTTCACACCTGGATGACAATATGTTACTCAGGGCTGTTTTCTCTGCTCCCCAAATTACACCGAGCGGCTTCTTGCTGGGTTTATAAATCTGCCCCGGAGCCAAATGAAGTCAGGGATGAGGAAACCTGAAACCTTCATCCCATTAACGCCTCAGTTATCATGTCAAACCACCTCAGACACACACAGCAGAAGCCGGGACACACGCTTGATAAGATTAGAGCCTTTGTAGTTTTGATGGAGTGAAATCTTCCTCTCTGTGTTGGTGTCGAGGCCTTCAGGTCCTCTGCAGCTTCAGTATCCTGCTGGTAGGAACAGCGAGCTAACAGGAGCCTCTGGGTGCTCGTTTTCACCCAGATCAACTCATCTTTGCGAGTTTACTCAGTGTAAATATATAAGTCTGGCTCATTTCTACTTAATCGGAATTTAAATGCTGAATTAAAAGTCTGATATCTTGAGGCAATTTTAACTTAAAATAATGAGTTGAATGAATTAACTGCTGAAAGTTCTCACAAATCACTAAAGACACAAAATTAGCAGATTTCCCATGATGCATTGTCCATTGATTTTAGCCATTTTTGAGCTTCGATGTCAGCAGTAGCGCAATGCATTCTGGGAGCATAGTGTTGTGTTTCGAGAGACATTGCATTTCCTGCTCTTCATTTGCATAAAGCTAATGTTTTGGCTACTTTATGCAAATGAGAGGTGTCCAGCTGCTACTTGATGCCTCTGAAAACTAAAAGAAAAAAACTTTCACCATTGTCGATGGGCTGCAAGGTGTCTCGGTGGTTAGCATCGTTGCCTCGCAGCAAGAAGGTTGCCAGTCCCGGTGAGGACGCCCAGGATCTTTCTGCGTGGAGTCTCCATGTTCTCCCCGTGCAGCGTGGGTTCTCTCCGGGTTCTCCGGCTTCCTCCCACACAGTCCAAAAACACGCTGAGGTTAATTAGTGATTCTAAATTGTCCGCAGGTGTGAATGTGAGTGTGCTTGGTTGTCTGTCTCTAAGTGTCGCCCTGTGATAGACTGGTGACCTGTCCAGGGTGTTTGACCACTGTCAATCTGAACTCAGGACAGATTCAGGAGCTCGTTTCTTGACTCAAATGTTTTCAGAAGCACATTTTTGTGAGCTATTTTCAGTTTCCGAGAGAAGAGTTCGTCTAGACAGGTGTGGTCAATGTTTCCAAGACTCTTCAAATATTTTGTAGTACAGACATGGTGTCAGCTTCCTGTGAGTCTTTAACACGCGTTAAGTCTCGTTTCATAATAATCAAAATGATTCTAAGCATGACAAAGGACAAAGGTGTAACTGGAGGCTGCCTTCTGGATTTTCTTAGTACAAAAACAGTGTCAATAGTTGGAGTTCTAAGTTCTTTAACATGTTCTAAGTTTAGGAGTTTCTGTCTGTAAGCATTGTCTTTATAATCTAGCTGATTCAGCTTTTAAGTTTATTGAACTTTTATTAAACTCTCAGCTGAATGAACTTAAAATTACCTAAAGTACAGAGAAAACCCAACACTAGATGTGACAGACGTTTGCATGCATCATTTAAAACATCATATATTTGATAAAAGCAACATTTGTGCAGGAAAACAGCTCAGATTGAACATTAAAAGAACAGCAGTGCACCTTTAGACATGAACATCAGGGGCCACCATCCCTCCCTCTGTGCTGGGAACGCTTCGGCCTGATTGTGCTTGCATGTGGTGACATTCATAAAACCGATCATTTAAAATCAAAATTCTGCAAAGCCTCGGAGTACTCATTAACTCCTGGATGCATATGTATAAAGAAATTTGATTTAATTAGAGATGTTATCAGTAAATGATGAAGGCATATATTTGGACTGATAAAATAGTGTTCCATCTCTTTTTGTTGCACTGAACTAATGAGCTTTTAGTCATTAAGATTATTTTTTTATTTTAAATATTAAAGCTGTTTCTTTTGCAGCAGGAAAACTGGATCAAGTTTTACCATAATTTAAACAAACTTTACGGGCAACCAAGGGTGGCAAAAAGGATGAAGATAATTTAGTTCTCGGAAATGCCACCCACATTGAGCAGCGATGATTCATAATGCCTTCCAGATGTTTCTTTCAAGCCGTAATGACGTGACGTGGAGACATGTAAAAACAAGCAGGTAAAAAAAAAAAAAAAACGTAGGCACGACTTTCTTGCCTTTTTGATTTTCTGTTAATTGTGACATCAGAAAGAAAGAAAGAAAAAAAAAATCAGGTAGACATCCTCCCCGAGACCAGTTGTTTAGGCTTACAAGTCTGGTGACACATTATGCTATTACGCAGATTACAGAGATGGCCAATCTTCTTTCTTAACCATCTATAATTAGAGGATAATGATTTCCTTTGTGCTGCTGTGGAGCCGACAGGGCGGGAGATCATCGTCCTCGGGGTCCGACAGAAGTGCCACATGGGCTTTTTTAGTGACACTGGGTCCAGAAACTTCAGGAGGAATCTCTTGAGAATATATATCCACAAAGAAGTATCAAGGAGAAGGAAGTTTGGGGCAAAGGGTGCAATCAAATTTTATATGCACTTAAGCAAAGTACATCACTGACGTCTTGAGGGTTGTTCCAGGTTTATCAGTCTGGAGGGGAAAGACGCCGGATTCTGCGCCGTCTGTTCGGATTTGTCGCGGAAAGTAAATGACGGGCAGCTCCACATCACAATGAGCGCTTGTTTGCTGAATCCAAAATAGCGTCTCATTTTGATTAGAGCAATTTCAGAGCGAGGAAATAAGACGGTCGCTCAGTAGCCACTCAGTGTGACGTCAATGTATTCAAGTGACACTCAGCTCAGTTTTAGTTTCGAACAAGCATGAAATGTAACGGATGTCATATATATATATATAATAATGTTGTGCAGTGACTCAGCAGGGAACAAACAACGGACTGTGGTGAAGTATTTTGTAGTTCTGTGCTTCTAGCAGTATGTTTGACATTGATTTCGGGGGAGGAAAAAGAAATGTTGGGTTGATATACAATATTAGCTTTAACCTCACAGTGAGGCTAACAGGTGGGTCAGCAGACTAAAGTACGTACAACAAATATATGGACGTATTAGACATAATAGCGAGCCACTATGGGTTTATAAAACTGGGGCCTCTAAAAGCTATATAGGCATGATTTGTCTGCCATATTTACAGGCTGGGAAAACAACTGGGGATCAAAATTGGATAACAAGTTGAAATATTCTGCCATCTGGTGGATAAAAATTGAATTGCATAAAAATGACTGCACATTTTGACTAGGTGGTCAAACAGCGCCCCCTAAAGAAAGTTCTTCCCTCTCAGA